AAAGGAAACATTTTCTTTGTTGAAGGGAATTTGACTGCAGTAGCTATGGGAGAGATCTGCAAACAGCAAACATGTTTCTCCTGTCCCAGGCTCCCACAGCATCAGTGGGTTTGAAGACCTTGTGCCTCTCTGCTTCTTCCTCACTATCTGTTTGGAAGGTTTATGACTTGCACAGACAAATATTTGTGTCCTACAACGTGGCTTAAAATACAGACCCCTTAAAAAGTAACAAGTGGTCTTCATAGCTCAGACCTTCCTGCGTGGGGTGTTTCTAATGAGGGACTGGGCTTATCTAGAGCAACCAGAACAAAAGACTTATAATTCCTGCCTCAGCCCATGGAGGACATTTAGTAACAGGCGAAGACATGACTCTGCCTCCACCAAGACATCAACCCCACGTCTGGGCTGGTCTGTAGATGACTGCAATTTGTTTTTTGCTGTAAATAAAGGCAGGTAGTTTCACCAGAGCAGCTACTACAGATAAGAAGTTACAATGGGATTTGGATAGATAACTGGTGTAGGGAAAACTCAGAAGATAAACATTTACTTCTGCAGGGCTTCCTGATAGCTCCAGACAAAGCAAATCTGGAAGCTGATACAAATGAGGAACTCAGCACAGAGTCTGATCCAAATAAGAGGACTTTCCTGGGGCAAGATTTCATGCAGTCTATGACAAGGACTGCCAGAAAGCCCTATCAACCATGAAACTAGAAAAACAGATTGGGTAGAGAGTGCTGGAGAAAGCTGCAGATCATTAGTCTGCTTTGCCTGATTGCATGTGGTTTCTCCCTTGGCTCAGCAAAGCCAGCTCAATTCCTTTCCCTGTTAGACATTGGCCCAAATTACAGAGTTTACATCCAAACTTTACAAAGCATTAATATTTAGATGGTGGGTTATGTTTCCCTCTATAATGCCTTTAATTTTATGGGAAAATAACATACATTCCAGTTTAAACGTCCCGGTTTTCAACTGCTTGGCTGGTTTCTCATCTGATTACCTGCTAGTTCTATTCCACCAGTGTAATTTCCTGACTTGGAGTAGCACCTGATCTTTGTCAGAGACAAGTAGACCAGAATCAGACATCTTTTACAGCCGAACATTGTGTTGGTTTTCAAAGTCAGGGGAGCAAAGGACCTGAGCCTAGTGGCTCCTGGGACCCACCTCCTGGTCCAAGGATAAAACTGAGACAATGGTATATTTGAAGAGAAAAATCTACCTTTAACTGACTGCCTTGCACACAGGAAACCAGGCAGGCTTTTTTTGTGTTTTTGTTTTTAAATGTTCAGTGGATGAAAACAAAGCTGTTCTGGGAGATGAATTTCGGTTCCCAGAGACAAACTCTGCCTCCTTTGCGGAGCCCCATGAAAACAAAGGTTGGAGACGGGAAATGTTGCTATAAACTACAGTGTCATTAATGGGCGACTCTGTAATAATCATGTGTATTTATAAATCAGGAACAACTTTCCCAGCAAGACTACCTTCCATCACCTCCCACTGCATTATTGTTCCCTGCCAAATCTGTCAGCTCACGCTTGCATTGTTAATTAAGTGAACCACTCAAGGCAGGTGAACAGTGAGGAAACAACCGGCAATTTTCCCTGTGATCATTTCTCTCTTTGGGTCTCTGCACTTGGCTGCCTTCTTTCCACATGACCTGCTTTCTCCCCAACACAGAGGTGAGCCTGTGAGAGGCACCTGTGGGGAGAAAGAGGCAGAAAATCGGGGCGAGAGAGAGAAAGCAAGAGCAAAAGGACAAAATTTGCTGAAAGCCTCATCCGTAGCTCTCAGCATCCCAGGCAGATCCTTTTACTGACTTCAGAGCGAGGGGGGTGGAAATGCTACAAGTAAAAGGATCAACAGGAAAAAAAAAAAACCCTACTTCTTTTCCACTTCTCTCCTTCCTTGCCTCTTCAACCCCCCCTCTTCCTTCCTCCGCTTGCTTGGGAAATTGCTGTACGACCGAAATCCACAGGCAGCTTCAGTTCCTTCCCCTCTCTCTTGACCTTTTCACAGTTCTAAGGGTTATTTAATGAGCTTAGAAAAATAATGCATCAGTTAATGGCAGAATCCCTGGAAGGGCAGCATTATCAAGTTTCCCTTTCCTCCTCCTCACCCTCACTGGAGACCTCATCACCTTCAAACCTCCACTTCCAGCTTGCTTTCTTGTGTGCTTTAAAATGTCTTCAAATTAGTACCACTTTATAAAATGGAGAAAGAGATCAGTGAAAGGCCTGGAAAGGTGCATTTAAATGTTGCACTTTGAAAAACATAGTCACAGAGGTTTGATCTTCTTAAACTAGTGAGAATGAAAAGTAATTTCTTTAAAATCAGGATATAACAACTGATGTACAACAGTAGACATAGTAATGTAGTCACACCATTATATCTCATAGAAGAGGCCACTATACACTGAAAAATAGAGAGGTGATAGGATCACCTATTGCCCAAAGATTGTTACAGCTTCATCCATGCTATGAACATCTCAGCAATCCACACAAAATTAAGATTTGTTGCAATAAATCTAGACTCAATTTCAAGGGACTGGAAGTCAATAATTCTGCCCCTTCTCCCACAGAGCCAAAACCTACTGTCCACACACACTATGAACAACACTTCTGTCTTCACAAAATTAAGATTCCTATGATTTCCAGTGACACTTGAGACCACATTATAATTCGATGCAGAATCCAGAGGTTGCACACAGATAAGAAGTACCCCTGGCTGCCTAACCCTCCTTTTGAAATATTTTTGGGCCTTAAATGCAAGAAAAAGCTGGCTGTAAGGGTACCTAAAATTATATCATTACATAGGAACTTTGAAATATCTAAGTGATCTAAAACAGAACTGAGTCTTCAAATCTTTTGCAGGTAGCCACTCCTTAAAACAATCATTCCTCATCTAACTATTAGGGCTCTCCCTTTATACCTTCACCCATCGTACTGTAAGGATCTAAGGAGGAACCAGCAGTAGATACTAGTTACCTTAGACCTCAGGTCAGTGTAAGGAGAAACATCTCCAAGCTGATTCAATGCACCCAAGATCTGAGTCACATTCTGGAGGAGGCTCTTTACATTAATTAAAGCAGAGTCTAGTGTGACTAAACCCTTAGGGTAAGTATCTTAGTGTCTATAGTTAGGTGGGACGAGTCTCAGGTTTTTCTGTCCCCTCAAAAGGCCTTGTAGAAGAGCTCTCTCTTCTGACTGAGAAGCCTGCTTCTATTTTTCAGCTTGAATTTAATCATGGTTAGTTGACATTCATCTCTTCTTGTGTCAATGTCACCCTTGAGCTTAACAAATCATCCCCTTCTCTGGCATTTTGAATCCTTCTCCACAAGCCCCTCAACACTCTGATTAGCAAGAACAATTGTTTACTTGTCTTAAAAATTCAAGTCTTTGACTCTCCATCCACTTGATTATGCCATCAGTCCATCTCAGAACCTGCTCTTATCTGAATTAGTCTTCATTGGACACGGATGTCTAGACCTGTACATAGCTTTACAGATGAATGTGTACCAGGCTCTTACAGAAAAACATTTCCATTTCTCTTGTTTTATTAGACACACGTTGCCTGAAGCATCTTAGAATTCACCCTTTCCACAGTTCCATCACATACTGATACCTCAGCAAAGTCTTCTAAGCTTGTCTGACATATTCAGGTATTTCTCAGGTTCATAAACATTGTTTTTCCTACACAGATTTCTCAGTTCACTTGTCCAATAATCATCAGCACTGTGGCACAAGCAAATTCTGCTCAGTTTATACCATATTTTTCAATCTTTCATCCCAAGTATTTTGTGCTAATTTCCATTATTAATGAATGTGTGAAGCTGGATCAGACAGGATTGGTACTTGGAAGAATTTTGCCACTAACCACCCTCACTGAAATACTTCCTTTCTTGGAGAAGTTATCTCTTTTTGTAACACTCTTCTGATCAGATTTAACTTTTTTTCCTACTTCTGCCTTAATGAGTATCTCTCATATTGCATGTATCAAATGTTTTAACTTATTTGGGTACAGATCTAAATTACATCAAATAGATAGAAATTGGATAACTTCCTAAAGCAAGATACCACATTATTTTTTCATAGTATTTTCCCAGAATAAACATTGTGATCCACCTTACACTATTTTAATTATTCTGCCATTCAAAGTTGGTTTTGCATACTATAGAGGTCACACTAATACACTTACAAAAGCCTTGATCAATTTTTTCTAAAATACACATGCTTACTATTCTTCTATCATATAATATCAACTCAGGACCGAACCAACATTCTGTGAAACAGCTCTTTCAGGTATCAGAAAAGAAAGCAATTTGTTCCTCCCATTATCATCATATCAAGTAGTTGGAATTTTACTTCTACCTCAGCTACAGTAATTTAAATGTCCATACATTCCTTCCCATTCACGTTCTGCCTTTATGCCATGGTCATTATCAACATCCTTACTGAAATTGAAAGAAAATTATCCATTTTGTTTTGAGGACAAATGCAGATTACTTTTAAGCTTGGTCCCATTCTTACTGCATGGTGTCAGTATTTCTTCTCTCATTATGTTCTCCTTATTTCTATGGCTAAGGAATTTCTACTGTTTGTTTTAATTTCCTCTGCAAAGAATTTCCTTTGTGAGGAAATTAAAACCTTGACATTTTGCAATTCTCACTTTATCCCCACAGCTCATCTGAGATGTTGTTCTCCTTGCTGATCAGTCCCTTTCTTTATAGGTCTACTCATAACCCAAGTGGGTATCTGGAAACCTTTGATTTTTCTATTGTCACAGGACATTTATCCTTTTGACTTTCTGAATCCACCTCATTGTCTGATGGTTTTAATCTAGAGAATTACACAATAGATACTCTTTTATCCCAGAATCTCCAGCCATTTCCTTCGTGTTAATGTAGCCAGTTATATTCAAAAAAATTAATAGAGTTATTTCTAGACTTAGAAGAATGATCTTATTCCTCAGAACTTCCAGGGAGAGAAATAAAAAAAATTACTCACTCTAATTAGAAGTCCACATGCTGCCCAGGGTATTGAATAGGGCTGGAGCGATTTCTCTGGTATACCCAAAGGATGGACACTGTAACACGGGTCAAGTTTATCTGAAAAACACGTTTTTGAATATTGAGGTCAGATTCACTCCTATAAAGGGAAGCAAGCGGAAATACTTTTTCTGTGAATTACGTAAGTGTACCCAAAACACATTTGTAACATGTAGAGAAAAGAAAGCTTTTTTTTTCCTAGTGTTCTGCACAAGGATGACTTTCACTTTAGCAGATAAAGCCATTTCTTTCCTCTTGATCTTAAACTGAAATGCACATTTAAAAACTAGATTTAACTATGGTTATTGGTTGGGAAAAATCTGAGATCTGCACTAGGTTTTAATTCATCTAAATGCCCATTTGCTTTTATACTTTGAATAGGCTTTAAAGTCAGCGGTCAGTCAGCCCAGCTAAACCATTTCACTTTATGCTCCAGCACCTCCCACCTAACCCACTCATTTGGGACCAAGAATTTTAGAACACAACTTGAATGAAGCAGCAACATCACCATTCAGCCCCTCTCATTCTTGTGGTTCCTGGGTTCCCCTGTTGAATGCTCGTACTGAGTGCTGATAATATGCATTGTCACTCATTCTGCAGAATTCCCTTTCTATAACAGATACTAATACACAGCATCTGCTAGAGTACATACATAGCTGTGCCATGAAGACTGGGTACTTTAGGGACTGTCAGATAACTGGAGCTGAATTACCTAGGGGTTCCTTCTCCTTGAATTATTCTACTATGAAATTCTCATCTGCAGGCTGCAAAGGGGAAACGACAGAGAGAAAAGAAACAGCTTCTCCCTGTCTAAACTTTCTGAGGAGCCTGTCGTGCTAAGTACTGGCCTGTCTCCTCTCGTTTGTGTTAACAGTGTCTAAATCAGTCTTTCAACTCACTGCCTTCCACAGGAGGAGCTGAAGCAGCAGCACAAATGGACCCTTAAGTACAAGGGGATAGAGTGAGCTATTTTCATATACACCTGGCGGTAGACGGGGTTGGGGGGGTAAGAAAAAAGAAAAAAAGTACTTTTAGCTTCATGTTTCCATCTCTCATTTCCATTAGTGCAAGCCTGGAAAGCCCCCATCTCTCTATTCATGTATTAAATACATTCCCCAAATAGCTTTAAAACCGGTCTCAGTCTTAATATCAAAAAGTAACAACCTGGAATGAAGCTTGGTTTCCACCCACTGGTGGCTGGTTGATACGGTGGTGCTTCAGCTGCAGCTCCTATGAGTTCCTTGCTCTGGTCTCAGAAAGAAGAGGCTGAGCCTTCAGCCATAGTTAAGAAGAGCAAGGTCTGAGGACACTTAGAGGTCACCTGGCCCTTTGGATGTTTATCTTATGACCATTCATGCACACCTGTGAGGAGCTGCCATTGCCCTTACCGTTAGTCCAACTGGCAGAATAGTGTAAAGAGCCAAAGCTGTGTCCTCCAGGGCTCAAATGGCCCTCACCTATTTCCCATTCACAGGGAAAAAGAAAGCCATGAATGGGTACGGAACAGAGCTCTGGGGCTTTAATCTGGCCCATGAGTTGATCCAGCTGGACCCAGACAACAGTAAGGCAAAGAAAAGCCAATCTTTGGCACCTGCAGCCTTAGGTGCTCTGTGACACAGCTCTGTCATGTGCCCGTTGCTGCTGGAAGCTCTCTCTTCGGAGTATTACAGTCACCAAAAAGGAGACTAAGGCTGCCTACAGGCTCTCTTGCTAAAATTGCTTTCATTTAGAGCTATTTATCAGCATTTTCACACCATTTTTCAACCACTCTCCTCAGCAGCTCTGTGCAATGCAAATACCTCCAAGTCATCACCGCGAGCCCAAAGAGCCCAGCCTGATAAAATACAACACAGGAGGCAGGGAAATTCAATTACAACAGACTGGCTGTGCTCTCCCCAGCTTTTCGCTGCGCTTCAAAGGGGGAGGGATAACAGGTAGACAGATTTTGTAGACATGTGCGTGCAATCATTTCCCTTGCGGATCTCTCACAGGCAAAGCAATGGGTAGGTTTGCCCAACACTTGTGAGAATTTAACTCCTGTGATATGACCCGTTGCAAAAGCTGAAACTTTATTTCAGTCCCACCTGAGCTTGATTTTGAAGGCTGACATTAGGCAAATTTCACCCTTAGACTCAGCTCTCAAGTGTTCAGAGATTAAATTTGAAACATTTCTTTGATTTGACGTTGGAATGATTTAAAGTATCTTCAGTCGTAGCACCAGGGCAAGTAGGGAAATTTGCACATCTGCCTTATCAGCCATTACACCCAGGTAAGGAAAAGTCACAAGTTCTCTGTGCGTGTTTCTCTGCATATGCGAAACGAATCCCAGAAAGTTGGAGGCCAGATAGAAGAATTACTCAATACTATATCAGCAATATGCATTAGCTGGATCTGATCAAGCCTCCAACCATATACTGCTCCCTAACCAACAGGCAGGACACTTCTTTAGATTGCGTGCCAGAATACATGAGAGGGTGTAATCAAATTCCAGGGCAGAGCTGTGATCCTGCTGTAATTTCCAAAACCTGCAAAGTGTCTCCTGTAGGATTTTCCTAATTGAAGACCTTCACTGTACAGCAAGAACAAAGCTGTCTCCCATACGATATTCCTTTAAAACATAGTACAGACCTGTGGCATACCAGATTTTTTTTTCTTTTCTGAATATACACATACATATGTACACATACATACATTTTTTTTTTTCCTGTCCTTTAAGTAATTATTTTTGTTCCAGCAAAATCAGAACAAGCAGAGCAGCTACAAATATCTCAGAAGCTTTTAGAGAGCAGGCAGCAGCCCACACACCAAGCTGCTTGAAGAGAAAAAAACTTGACATGATGAAATTCAGATGCGTCTTCCTGACGGAGAACTGCAGCCAGGGCAGCTGCCAAGCCGGGGTGAGCCAGGGAGCAAGGAGGCATTATGCCTCCTGTCACTGACTCCACCACGAAGAGCCCTGCACCCGTGACACCTCCCCACCTCTCTGGTTCCAGGGGGGAATATGGGGAAGGGGGACTTCAACACAGGAAGGATATGGCCCTATTGGAACAGCTCCAATGGAGGGCCACATAGATGCTCGGAGGGCTGGAGCACCTCTCCTACAAGAACAGGTTGAGAGAGTTAGGGTTGTTCAGCCTGGAGAAGAGAAGGCTCTGAGGAGACCATACAGCCCCTTCCAGAACCTAAAGGGAGTCCAGGAGAGATGGAAAGGGACTCTTGAGCAGGGTGTGGAGCCATAGGACAAAGGGGAAGGGCTTTAAACTGAAAGAAGGGAGGTTTAGATGAGATCTCAGGAAGAAATCTTCGCTGTGAGGGTGGTGAGAACCTGGCCCACGTTGCCCAGAGAAGCTGTGGTTGCCCCATCCCTGGAGGGGTTCAAGACCAGGCTGGATGGGGCATCGAGCAACTTGGTGTGGTGGGAGGTGTCCCTGCCCAGGGTAGGAGATTGTAACTGGATGACCTTTAGGGTCCCTTCTGACCTGAACCATTCTATGAATCTATGACTAATGGGAATATAACATTTGGCTTCCAAAATGGGAAAAGAAGGAGCTGACAACATCTGCTGCACAAGCCTGTGCTCAGGATAACATGGGGAGCATCCATTGCTTCTGCTGCCACGGGACCAAGGAGTCAGGAGCCTCTGGCATGGAGATATAAATGTCTGCAGTCTCTGTGATGTTTCAGCAGCACATAACAAGAAGTTGTACCATATTATAGCAACAGACCCTCCAGCATTAAGACACATCCATAACAGCCCAGCTGCATTCCAGGATCCAGGAGCCTCCTTTACTGAGACATGTGTTCCTTACCTCTGCTTTATTACCAAAGAGCAGCCCACAATCTCTGGTTTTGAAACATCTGTGGGTAACCTATAGTACCTACTGCCAGGAGCTCCCCCAGCCAAGCCGCACACGCAGTTTGTTAATTCTAACTGTACCTTCCTGAAGTGCAAAGTCTTATTACTACTATCCATTACCTTGGGTAAATATTGGAACAGCAGCATTCACAGCACAACGCACTGGGACACAAACACTTTCAGCCTCAAGCCCTAAGGATCCTACTGAATTTTTACGCAGGAAAACTACTCTTTGAGTCCATGGTGATACACAGAAATAACTTGGCTAGGGATATTCAAGGACATCAAGATGTGGCTGCACTGTCTATTGGTGACAGGGCTTAAGCACCTGCTTAATTTTAGGCTGGTTCTTAAAACTCACCAAAGTGCTTTTCTAAGGGGTATTTTCCTGTCCTGAGTGGCAATGCACTTACAGCTAGATAAAAATCAGTATCAGTGAAAGAAGAGAATCCTCTATGGGGAGAAAAGTTTGGGAAAAGCAGATGTAAAGGATCCATTGCCCTCACGCTAATGTTCCACTTTGGAAAGTCAATTATTATCCCTAAGGATCTGAATATTCTGTTATGGGAAAGCAGTGGTTTGAATAGATGTGTGTGTGGGAAGACACACACACACACACACACACAAACTCTCACACAAAGGATATTGATTCAAACTGTATTTATGATTCCTCAGACCTTTAAGAAATTGATTTTAGACTATTCTCCCTCACTCCAGCTGAAAATAAAAGCACAGTGTAGGATCCCTTAAAGAACTTTCCTGATAGAGGGAAAAAAAAATCCTAAAGTTTGTATGAAAAAAAGAAAAAAAAGAAAACCCAAGAATCCTGTGGATTTGGTGTTCAATATTCTGTCAAATGCCTTTTCAAAGAAATAGAAAACTTAGAAATGGCATTTAAAAATAAACAAGCAAACAAACACAGCTCCACTTCTTTCTTTCCTTTTCAAGTAAGATATTGTATTTATTTTCAGTAAGTTCAGATAATAACTTGATTTTGCAATTCTCCTCTATCACCAAAGTCTTCCCTGGAATTCAGTGTTCTCATTAAGACTTTTTTTTAAAGAGACTTACACAAACTTAAAGTTACAAAATAGCCCCTGTGCCAGCCATCTGCACTGGTACACGTCTGCCAAATCGAATTCAGGCTAAAATTCAGGCTTTGAACCTAAATAAACAATCTGTCTTTATTAAGCAAAGTGCTTAA